TTTATTTATTTTTTTTAAATTTAATTGTATTTTATTTTGAAGAGTAAAAACAAACAGAAACAAAGAAACAGGTGACATATAACAATACATATGTTACAGATTTTCAAAATAAGAATAGAAAATTAACAATGGTTATTATATTTTAAGTATTACCTATTTTTGTCATCATATCTGTTGCTCTGATTAACAAATATAGCTATGCAAAATTGGACAAATAATTGAATATTAACACTTGCTTTTAACAAACCTTAATTTTTTTTCAAAGTTTTATTGATAAAAAGATAGCAATGAGACAGTTTCAAATCTAATTGAAGTACAGTTTCAACAAATAATACACTGCATATATTCTTCTTAGTGGTTAATTGCTGTACAAGAAGTGGACTTGTGATCCTATTTACAAACACCATTAGAACAAATCATTCTATTCATTAAGAGAATGCAACTATATATCTATCCTAACCACTTTGAATACACAGATACAAAATGGACATTCATCGGTGTACCCCATTTTTTCTAAGTTCCATTATTGAATATTATAGGTGTGTAAATTCAGCAAAATATTCTAAAAGAGTCCAGTAGCCCATTATAGCATTGGGTCTTTGTTTAACTGGCAATGTCAGAAATTATTGACCTGAGTCCCCCACAGCTCAACATAACAGCATGGCTTTATTTCCTATACATAGTTCATTCTTACAGTACCTTTTAGTAAAGCTTTATGAAATACACACTTATGAAGAAACAAGAAGATGAATTTCTAACACGATGAAAATATCTATTTAACCCCAGACTGATTTATTAAGCCTGAAGAATCATACTGCAGTCAGAAACAAGAACTGGTGTCACTGTTCTTTGTGGCCTCTTCTCCTGTGGCGTTCCAGATTTCTCTTACCAACAGCATTCATAATTATCTTCTTGCCAGCCTCCCGTTAGCTTTTCCTGTGACATTGCAACCCCAGGAGGTATTTTAGAGCAAGGCCTCACTTATCCTCAAGCTGAACCTCAGAGTCATTGTAAGCTTGGTCATCTTGTGTCTCCTTGGGGTCCCGCAGGGCACCTTCAATGATACACGATAGCCACTAGTGGGCTCTTGGTCCCTCGTGTGTTATAATAGCTGGTCACATCTCTACTCCTTTTAGTCACTTGACATTTAAGTTTACATACTACTTCTATAACCACACTTGAAAGAACAACTCAAAAATGCTTCAGACATGAAGAGGATTGATGAAAACACTAACCAAAAGTCTCAACAGCCGTTCCCCAAGCTCTCCTAAGGCATATGCTGCATTGGATGTTCTGGTCAGACTCAAAGAATGTGAAGAAATTAACTGAGCCTTAGCTGCCAACTTAGTCGATGACCTTTGTAATCTTGTTGCTGTGATTTGCCTTTAAATTTGTTCCTCCATCAGTGCATAGCTATAAGTCATATTATCTAAAACTTTCCTTCTTTTATCTAGTCTAGTTCTCCAAATAATCTTTTCTTTTGTTTTGATTGCTGTGCTGTTATTGTTACTCAGTTTTCACTTAGAACACAACCATGATTTCTGTTCAAGAAAGGTGGAATAATGTGGATTCAGAACCTTCATATACTACTTTGTTAAACCAAAACTTATCAAGTCATTCTATTTGCGATTATGTAGCTATTTGTAGTGTTAATTTCTTTGCAAATTAATGAAGCTTCTAAATGAGATAAGCATTGTGGTGAGAGGTTGATATCTTCTGTTGGTCCCAAGCTATACAACTTTGAGGTATATTCTGGAGCTATAAGACCCTTCTATCTTCCACTCTGAAACAGTGTCTTCCTCCTCGGAGATATGGCAGGTTTTCTCTGCCAATCACCCAAGCAAAGCCAATCATGGTCTTTTGTTTCTGTCTCATTTCTTGTCTCTCTTTCTGCTCTCACTATGTTTCCCCTCCATTACCCTCTCCTCATCTCCCTTCTTTCTTTTTAACTTCTTCTCATTCTCTTCTCTGAGTCCATCCATAAATTTGTTGAGCAACATCTGGGAATTGTGTCATAGGCAAGTGTCTGGGCTCCACTGCCAGAGGCCTGAGTCTGCATCTCACCTTCAACACTAAGTTGTGACTGCACACCTCAGAGCCTCTTCGTGCTTTCATTTCCCCATTTGCAATTCAAACACTATATGATTTGGCTTGCAGAGCTATTGGGAAGATTACGTAAGTTTATAGGAATAAGATTTTTATAACAATGCTGATAGGTTTCCATTGCCTACTGTTCCTTCTGTCGTAGCACATGTTGATGGCTTCTGCAGAGACCCTTCCACTGCAGGGCAGTTCCATCTCTCCAGTTCTTCAGTTGCTTGTTCTCACACTGTTTCTTTTGAAGCACAGGGGATGTCACCTGCCAAGAAACAGTCCCACGGAGAGTTTTTCTAAGGAAATGCGAGCTGATTTCCTTCTGCAGAATCCACAATGGGCCTGTGAGAAATATGCATCCGCTTCTAGCTGTTATTTGAGAAGAAATAAATCTCATTCAGGCCTTCTCCTTTCTCACCAGCTCCAACCGTCCTCGAATCTTCCTAGTTTTTATCAGTGAGCCAGTTATCAGCTCTTACTTAACTCACCAAGTGGTTTTTTGTTTTGGATTAGGAATCAAACTCGTGACCTCATACTTGCCAGCCAGGCACTGTGCTGCTGAGCTATATCCCCAGCCAGTAATCTTGAAGCTACTTTACCACCACTAGCACCACTTTACTTGAGGAGAGAAAAGGGATTCCCTGCCTTCTCGGGCAGCTTTTGTTCTCTTAATCCCACAGGAAAACGTGCAAAGGAAATGAACAGTCCCTTCACAGAAGATTAAAAGCTAAAGGATCAATAAGTGTATGGAAAGGCTTAGATATTCTAGTTATCAGAAAGAGATAAATAAAATCAAATGTAAGACAATCTTTACACTCCATTTCATACTGTAGCTCAGCAAAAGATAAACCATAGATTTAACAAAAATTTACACACAGATGTACACACACACACATTTGGGTAACTGAAAAATTGATTTGGCCATTGAGAATAGTGATTTTGGAATATATATCAAAATTAAAATTCTGTGTACTTTTTGACTCCACTACCAAACCAGTGCTATATATCTGTCCTATGAACATACCAGCAGAGCTATGTAAATATGCCCATGATAGTAGATTATTACTGTTGTGTTACCTTTCCTGTTACTGAAAAAAATACTGAATAACCACAGTGAAGGAAGAATTAGTTGGTTTGGTTCCTGGTTTCAGAGAATTCAGTCCATGGTTGGCTGACTACAGGGAAGAAATACTGTGGTGGGAAGGAGTGGTAGTGCAGGACTCCTTAGTTCATGATGGATGAGAAGCAGAGAAGGAGGCAGCACCAGAGGGGAAGAGGCCAGAGACTAGCAACGGTACCTGCGGTCCCACCTCCCTGACTCACTCATACACACCCATGAGTGCAGCTTACTAATCTAGGCAGCTTCTAAGCCAATCAAGTTGATAGTTAAGGGCCGCCCAGATAGCTCAGTGAACTAAAGCGTCTGCTTAGGCAGAGCGCAGCAGCTGGGGTTCGATCCTCAGCCTACCATGCCAGCCCCATTCGAGGGCACACTGAAACAACAATTGAGCCTGGGCGTGGTGGTGCATGCCTGCAATCCCAGCTCTTGGGAGACTGAAAACAGGAGGATCACTAAGAGTCCAAACTGTGTAGTGAGACCCTGTAGACCCTGTATCAAATACAACAACAACAACAAAAAGTTGACAGTTAAGCTTCAGCACTACAACTGAATTATTTATAAGTTTTTTAAAAACTGAAATCAACTTGGATGACCATCAGAACATACAACAAACTTACAATGCACCCAACACAGTAGATGCAAGAGTCCAATAAAATAATCTGAAGTGGTAGCAAATGTTTCAGACATTTTCAGACACATAAAAATTCCTATTAATGGGGCCGGGGAGATGGCTCAGTGGAATAAGCGCTTCCCTGGCAAGTGCAAGGGCCTGAGTTCAATCCCTGGTTCCAAAAAAAAAAAAAAAAAAAAAAAAAAATCCTATTAATGACACATTTAAGAAAATTGAGATGTTTCCTTGTAAACATAGATTTTCACGTTTGTAAATGTATAGAAAAAATTCAAACCAACTTTTTGAAAAGAGAATTAAACTGATGAGTTACTTTTGAAGAGGGAACTAGAACTGGGGAAGACAGAGCAGGTAGGACTGCAGCATTTACCATGAGAAGATGGTAAGTAGATGACTGTGTGGAATTCTACAGAATACTGAAAAAGCAAGTAGAGCTGCTAGAAATGATCTTTAAGACTTACCTGAATGATAACTTGCAATTGCTGTATTGACAGTTGGGTTTACCAACTTTCGAGTCTAAGAGTATTCATCATCCTCAAACTATTTATCTTATTAAAAATAGTTCTGTATACTGGAACGTATCTGAATGTTTATTCAAGCAATAGACATAAATGTTTTGCTATGATTGTAGGTTTCTATAGTTACTCACTTATGCTTTTCAGATATAAACTAGACAAATTCTAATACATAGCACCTTGACTTTATTGTCATAATAATAATTAACGAATTCTGGTTGCTATGGTAATATGCCTAATAAGAAATGTAATATTCTTTGTGGAACAAATATTTCATTCTGGAAATTAATTCTGTGTAATTTAAATTGATTTTTATATTTAGTTAATGACATAATTTGTGTGTGTGTGTGTGTGTGTGTGTGTGTGTGTGTGTGTGTGTTTGTATGTCTTGTGCTGGAATTGAATACAGGGCCTCCTGCATGCTAGGCAAGTGTTCTGTCTCTATGCCCCATTGCTAGCACTGATGAGTTACTCATTAATGTGTATAAATGAAAACATGTTTTCCTTTGTGATATTTATTTTTAAAGCATAATGTGTGTATATTATATAATACACAAGATTATAACAGTTCCTAAAAGATTAAATATGGATGCTGGAACCATAAACAGAATTATGCACATGTCCCTTGTTTCCCCACATGCAGTACTTACATGAAAATGGGATCGTCCATCGCGACCTCAAGCCAGAGAACCTTCTGTATGCCACCCCAGCGCCAGATGCACCACTTAAAATTGGTAATGCCATTTTCTGATGTCTCAGGACTTCTTTTTTCAGACCAGAAGAAATGTGTTGTGTGACATTTTGTAAGATTGCTCCATCCATCCTCACCTCCATCCAGCTTCCTCTGCTATTTGACATTTTGGAGGGCTGATGCCTTGGCTTGGAAGCCTGCTTTCTTTCCTGGACTGTGAATCTGTCAATCAGCACAAAACATTAGCTTTTCATTGCTGGACACACATGAGAATCACAGCTTTTAAGGGTGTAAGAACCTCAGGACACTGCCTTGTGTTTAGTAGATAGACTTATAGTGAAAAAACAGAAAGTTAAACATTTCTTTTAAGTTATTGACTTATTCCACAAATTACTTGGAGTTTAATCAGATGATCAAGAGCTTTGGCACAAAATGCTTAGTACATATTAGTGACCCTGGACCCTGAATCATTTGCTTACATGAACAGAGATAAATTAAGGCCTGTTTTTCTCACAGTGTTCTCTACAGGACCCCTGGTGCTTCAGCGGCGTGAAGTGCGCCCTTTGGCCCTGGGGGTGGGGGGCTGTTGAGTGATTTGCAGAGATGCTAAAATTAGTCAAGTCTTTAGGAAATTCCAATTTAAACAAAATTTTAATTTCTTCAGCACTTGTCAGAACCGTACAGAATATTAATATGCAGGCTGACATGTAATTTACCACAAGGCTTTTCTAAAGATTTATCAAGCCCCACCCCCAAACATTGTGAAGAACTACAAAAATAAACTTAGAGAAATTCTGATCTACTCAAAGAAGCCTTTAAAGCAGCATTTTAGGAAAATAACATATTTTTCAAATAACCTCCCAAAAGCATCTTAATTTCAAAATAAAATGTTAAAAAAACTTGGATGAATTCTCCTTCATTCTCCTGTGCATTTCTGGTGCTGTCCTGGTACACTTGGCGTTTACAAGTGTTAATACCTTTGAAAATTAAGTTGTTCTATCACAGAAGAGCTCACGGAACAGGATTTGCTTCATGAATTCAGGAACTTAGAGAAAAACCCTGGCAGGCCTGCTGGGCAGCCCGCCTGTTCCCCTAATCACTCCTGAAAGCCAGTGGACAACAGGGAGTTTACATTTCCTTTGACATCACTTTCAAAGATTTGATCCTTCAAGAAATGTCTTTAAGTGGATGGAGAGATACTAATTTAAGCAGGAGCCTTTCTTTCTGAAGGGCTTCCTGCTGCTTCTCTTGATAAGAATCAGGCACCTCTGGAAGTGTGGATTTATCTTTGAAGTCTAAGCCAGCATCCATGCTGTACCTGCCTCTCTTGAAGAATGGCCTTGAGTTCTTTCCTGTTGTTTCCCCTGAGAGATGGAGCCCAGCAAATAGATTATAATGGTAGCGACTCTGATAATATCTTCCCCAGCTAATAATTCTCTGAGGAATAAATAAAAAGCTTTTTTTTTTTTCCAAGAAAGGTATTATACTGGTCTTCTGACAGGAAATTCTTATCTGTCAAGTATGTTGGAGATTGATGTTATTTATTTTCAATCACAATCAGCCTTTTGATATTTCCATCTATTTTCATGACATTTAGGAAAGTCTAATTTTTTCTGTCTATACCTGTGGTTCCGAATTATATCTATGTCTATATTATCCCTTATATTTAGGGTCACACTAATCTCAGAATTAATAACATTAGACAATTATTACAGTGATTAAGGAAAAAATAGCCTATTTTATAGAAGTAGAGATTATAGAGAACAGCAAAGACTAAATATAAATATACTTGTCCATGTATTTAGGAACCATATTTTTCTCTGAATTAAAAATTTAAATTTTTCTTTTGGCTTCCTCTCTTAGGCACCTAATCCCGGAACACATTCACCTCACCATAAAATACAAAAGCAAACAAACACATAAACAAATTAGATCTATTTTCAGAGCGCAGAGGTGTGTGTAACAGCTTTGAAGAGATATGCTTCATTCGATTTTTGTTCTTGTCTTGCTAGCTGACTTCGGACTCTCTAAAATCGTGGAACATCAAGTGCTCATGAAGACAGTGTGTGGAACCCCAGGGTACTGTGGTACGCTCTTTAATACTGAAATTTATCTTCATGGATATCCATTCTTATTTACTTCTTTTTATTTTTGATTCCTAATGTCTCTGTTTATAAGCACTTACAATTTGGTATGCATCTCTATGAGAAGTCGTATAGAAATGATACATCTCGTCCTGTCCTTCCTGAGGGATTCAGCAGTATTAGCTTTAGGACACCTCTAAATGTCATTTGGGTAGGAGCTATACTTGGGCCAACTCAAGAGAAAGAAGATAATCACCAGAAAGTTCCACATGTAAGCATTTTATAATTTAATTTTGATAAATTAATTTCCCTGGTAAACTTAAAATACTATTTCTTTGCAACTCAGTAAGGATGTTGGTCCATTCAGTCTGTTGTAACAAATGTCCTTAGTCTAGGAATTTATAAATAACAAAAAAAAAATTATTGCTCACAGAGCTGAATGCTGAGAAGTCCAAGATTTAGGCACTAGCAAGTTTAGTGTCTGATGAGAGTTGACTTTCTGGTTCATAGATAGTGCCTTCTAGTTTTGTCTCATGTGGCAGAAGAATTCATAGTTTCTCTTGGTCTTCTTGCATAAGGAGCTGTACCTTTGTAACCTAATCGTGTCCCCAAAGCCTTACATCGAAACTGTCAATTTGGTAGAGATTAAGATTTCATGATATGAACTTCAGGTGACATTATATATATATGATGTGGCATTAAGAATGGAGTTCAGAAGCTGAGCATAGAGCTCAGTGGCAGAGTGCTCCATCTAGAAGTGCAAGACCCTGGGGTTCAGTCCCCAGTACCTCAAAAAAACTGATGTTGGGTTATACAGCTTATTGCCTCTATCATAAACTTACAAATCATGTTTCACAAACTTAGGAGAAATATGAAAACCATTGCACTCTATCATGCCTGACATATTATTAACTTGTTGGGGTTTGATATCTTTTTTTTATTTTTCCTATTTTGCGTTAGGACTGTTCTGTTGGCATTCTCTCCGTGGGCCTTCCCTCCTACTGGTGCCATATGTACTTTCCCTGCCTCTAATTTATATTGCTTTATTTGTCCTCTTGCTTTATTTCTTTCATGTCTCCAAGATGTAAGGGTTCAGCTAAATTTGCCACCATGTGTCAAACAAGCTTGCTCATTTATTATCACTAATTGCTAACCAATTGATAGGACTGAAAGAGAATTGAGAAAAGAATGATAAAATAAATGAAGGATTCCCCACTAGAAGAAAACTGATGGACAACTTAATAATAATTATCTAATGCCAGGCACTAAGTATTCCCAGCAGGTGGGCAGTTTGCAGCAATTTCCTGAGAACTGAGCAGCCTTGGATTAGGGAAGATCAGAAAAAGAGTAAACCAGTGTTCTCTAAGGAGTCCCTCTGTGACTGTGAGCAAGCAGTAGCCTTTCAAGGTCTGTAATTATACTTATGACAGCACTTCTTATTACAGCATTTCAGAGTGGGCATTTTATGAAAGAATGATTCATTCATTGATAAAATAAACAGTAAATGACTAATAGACTCCATAGTAACCACTAAGGTTACAAAGATAATCACATATGCTCTTGTTCTTTAACGATTTCATAGACTATAAAAGAAGAGACACTTATATGTAATAATACGTAGTTTGTTGTGATGAGTTCTATGTTTATCTGAATCAAATGCCCAGAAATACAGAAGGAAGGAAATTGTTAGTCCTGGCTAGAAATGTCTTACAGAGGAGGGAATTAGAGCTGGTCACTGGTGGGCGGGTAGAAGTTCAACAGGGAAGGATGGTCATAGGCATACTTTGTCTGTGAGCACAGGGAAAGAAGTCATCAGGGAATGGCAGCACCTTGCTGTTGCAGAGACTATTTGTCACTCTGCTACTTTATACAGATGGAACTTAGAGTCCTTAGTGCGGACGTACAGATAGAGTGAGTTATCAAGGAAGGGTAGACCGCATTTTTGAAGAATCTGTGCCTCAGGCCAAGAAATTCAGATGATTTGGTGTAATATTTATGAAGCAAAGATTTACTTTTAAGATGGTATTTTGAAATCAAGTTTGTGTTTTATAAATATGTGGAGTATGATGCATTATAGCAGATGGATTTGAGGAGAAAAGAGGGTCAGGAAGATAGCTCAGTGGCATAAGTGCCTGCCTAGCAAGCATAAGGTCTTGAGTTTAACCTCAGGTACCAAAACAAACAAACAAGCAAACAAAAAAAGAAAAACACACAGACTGAGGAGAAAAGAAATGGTAAGAAAACAGACAAATTAAGAAGCTATTGTAAATTTCCTTTCATAGCCTTTTTTTGTCCGTGTGTGTGTGTGTGTGTGTGTGTGTGTGTGTGTGTGTGTGTGTGTTTGAGACAGAGTCTCACTATGCAGTTCAGGCTGGCCTTGAGCACACTTTGTAGCCCAGGCTAGTCTTGAACTTGCAGTGATTCTCCTGCCTCTTAGGTAATAGATTACACTGTACCCAGCTCTCATAGTCTTTACAGTCAGAACTGTACACATGTGTGTCGTTTCGCAAGTAGATTCTCAGTGGATAACATGGGGTTTTTGGATAACATGTTTGACCTATTCACAAACCCAAGAATCTTTAGAAGTAAAATTATTGTAAACTGTTGTTCTCACCTCTTGTCCTTGGTATAAACAGACCTGTTTTGTAAGCAGTGTCATTTTGTAATGAAGGCCTATTTCTTTTTTTTTTTTCTCTTTCTTTATTGTTATTATTATTACTATTATTATTATTTGCCCTGCACATGTGCATATCACCTTAAAGACTGTGTAGTAGGGTAGGAGGTTGTTGAGTGTTGACAGTGATCAAGGTGACCTTCCCAATCTACTATAGCAGTTTACTAGGAAGGGGTAATTTGTTATAATGTAAAAGATAAAAGTGACACACCCAAAAATCTTCAAGTAGGATATAATATGCTGGGGACCAGGAATATCACTCAGTGGCATAATCACCTGCCTGGTAAGTTCAATATCCTGAGTTCATTCCCGATACCAAAAATAAAGGGTAGAATATGCTTCATCAGAGGACTGTTTTGGGAGTAGATAGAAAAAGTGTAAATGCTTTGTGGACTCAAAAGAGCTGAGGAAAAA